GAAGATCCAACGGATGATTATTCACAATGGCTACCATATTGCCCCCAACCAATATTTTCGATCGATGATTTTTTTCGACCACTTCATCTGTGTGCTCAAATTCCTTCACCACAAATAGAACCAAGGATCAACTTAAGCCATTCACAGAGTCGTAAGAGAAAGAGAGCCAAAGTGTATCATTCACTTTCAATACCTTACGCTGAGCTCTTTACATTACTGATAGAGAATCATATGATCTCTATTGTTCCTGCAAAACCCAGAAAGCCTTCATACCCGAAGTGGTATGATCTTAATGCTAAATGTAAATTTCATGATGGAGTTAAAAGGCATTCCATAGAAGATTGTACTGCCTTCAAGGATAAAGTTCAAGCTTTGATCGACGCAGATGCTGTAAAGTTTAAAGAGCTAGTTGGTGGTTTTGATGATTGATAGTAGTAAAGTTGCAAGTTAGTGATGCTAAAGTTGAAACATCAAGGGGAAAACTTTTGTTTATGTAACTTTGAATATCACCTCAAGAGTATGATCTAGATAATAAATTCTTTTTGGTCAAGTCTTAAGGTTTGCATTGCATGAGTAAACATTGTGCATCATAGTGTTTTATTTCGAGTAAGTTTCGATATATAGTTGGTTTTTGTAAAAAAAAAAAAAAGAAAGAGCGAAGATATTAGATGTGAATAAAGCCTCATGTGGTTAAGTACCAAGGTTAGAGAAATTTTTTTGAGAAAAAAAAAAGAGAAAAATGAAAAAATGAAGTTTTGAGTCTAAGATGAATTGGCGATCACTATTAAAAATTTTTCAAATACCTAAATGCCAATTTGCTCATTCAGTTGACCCTATTTCATCAGTCATGACCCCTTGATAGCCTTAAATTCAAATTTGTGAACCTTATTTTCACCTGATATTGTTGGCAATATTCTTTTCTAAGGCAATGAACAAATGAAACAGCCATTAAAAAATGTGTGGTTCCTAGAAAATCAAGTCTATATGACTTTCTTTTTTAGAATTCAAATGCGATAATTGAATATGATAAGATTATGCTGCAGTTCTAAAATTTTCAAATCCAAAATACACTTAAGCATACTACCATTTCAGTTGTTTTTATCCCAAAATTAACCCGATCATTTGTCTTAAGGTATATTTGTCAGAAAAGAAATACCTCATTACCTCTAAGACAACTTGAGTTATGATTAACCCTTTTGTTCTCTTTTTGTGGAGTAACTTAGATCATTTGATACCTTAAACATGTTTACCCCACATAATCTTTTTCTTATCCATTTCATATGACCCTTCTCTTGTAATTACTTTCATTATGGGTGGTTTGCTAAAATAGGGCATCTTTCATGAAACGTGTTACTGGCAAAATGAATCTAAGTGTGAGCTATGGGGGCATAAAAAAACAAAAAAACAAAAACAACAAAAAAAGAGAAATAAAAAGAAAAAAAAGAAGAAAAAATTGGTTATGACATCATGCACTAAAAAATTTGAGCAAATCCAAAAAGGTCATAACAAAGTCAAGGTTTTGAAAAAAAAATAAAATAAAAATTTATTTTGAGATTAAAAAGAAAAAAACCTTTTTCCAAGTTCATTTTCCTGAAGAGTAGTCTTCAATTTAAGTGTTTATGCTTGAAGTGACAAATGTCCATCTTTCATTATCTCTTCACAAAAATAAAAATTTATCTTTTGTTACCCCTTTGAGCCTGATTGAATTCTTTCAAAATAAACCCTGACTAAGGATCACTTTCTATATTGGGGACAAAAAAAAAAGGGGGAATGCATTTGAAGGATAAGAATGAGAATGTCTAATAAAATCTCATGTGATAGGGGCACAAACCCAGTATAAAAGTTCATAAAAGTTTTGAATCCACTCAGTGAAAAGATGTAAAAAAAAAAAAAGAAAAGAAAGGAAGAATAAAAAAAAGAGAAAGAAATGAATTGGTGGAAAGCACAAAATAGAATATACCTTAGAGTGTATCCTTCCAATGAAAAATGATCCTTAGTTTCCAATACCCTTAAATACTTGTTTTGGGCTTTTTTATCCTTTTCTTTGGCAACCATGAACCTTAACCTACATTACAACCTTTGAAAAGTCCATATTGGATCAGGCATGAAAGCTTAAACTTGAAGAATTTCTCTTGAAAAAATGAACATGAATTTTTTGAGTTTTTCTTTTTGAAAAAAATTCTTTTCCTCTTTTGGATTATATTTGAATTCTCAAGTGCATGGTGTGTAAAAAAAAAAAGAAAGAGAAAAATAGAAATAAAAGTGGCTCTATGGTGAAAACCCTCAAAAGGGCAGTCTAGAGCCAACCCTGAAAGGTCACTCTTAATGCTAAGTATGGTGGATGCTAAACAAAAGTAAAGCCAAACCTTTTGAAAGATCTGAAATATCAAAGCCATAGAAGTCTGAGATGGGTTGATTATTTCCAAATAACCCTTTAAAATCTCAAGCCCTTACAGTTGATCTTGACATATATCAAAATGTCGCATTTGGAGACTAAGAAAATGTTGAATATGTTTGATTTTCAAGGAATTCATGCTTTTAGAAAAGCTTGTGTTTCATTTGTGAGCTTGCATGCCTCTTTCACTCCCTTTAAGGATTGAAACCTTTTGAATCAACATCGCTATCTACAGAACTATTACATCCATTTGAAAAAAAAAATCCTCACATTTTTCATTTTTGATAGGGATCGCCAAATTCTTAAAAAAAAAAAAAAAGCAAAACTTTAAGCCCAATTATCTGGCCTCAAATGAAGCTTTAAGCCCAGTTTATCTGGCCATCAATGATATTTAAGCGCAATTTATCTGGCCTCAAATGAAAATTTAAGCCCAGTTTATTTGGCCATCAATGAAGCTTTAAGCCCAGTTTATCTGGCCATCAATGAAGTTTTAAGTCCAGTTTATATGGCCATCAATGAAGCTTTAAGCCTAGTTTATCTGGCCATTAATGAAGCTTTAAGCCCAGTTTATCTGGCTATTAATGAAGTTTTAAGCCCAGCTTTTCTGGCCATCAATGAGGTTTTAAACCTAGTTTATCTGGCCTCAAATGAAGATTTAAGCCCAGTTTATCTGGCCTCAAATGAAAATTTAAGCTCAGTTTAGCTGGCTTTTAATAAAATTTAAGCCAAGTTTATTTAGCCCTAAAAGAAGTTTTAGAGTTTCAAAGTTCTATCCAGAATAAAAATTCTTGATACATAACCTTTTGAAAGATCTTGCATTTGCATTACTTGTATCATGAGAAAGACATTTAACCTAAAAAAAAAGAGATATTCAAATTTGCATCGCTTATCTGTGCATCATGAAAGGGATATTTGCATTTGCATCACTTACATCTATACTACAAGAAAGACATTCACATTTGCATCACTTGCATTTACACTTGCACAAGATATTTGCATTCGCACCATAAAAAAAATTCATATTTGCACAACTATGGCATCCACATCCTAAGAAAAGGTATTTGTAGAAGCATTTACATGAAAAGAACATTGTCATTGTCAAATATAGTTGCATCAAGCATTCGCATTCTTGCATTTGCATTGAAATTTATATTTTTATCAACATTTCCATTAGCATCATTTGATCAAGATGGACATTTGTATCATTGATTGCATTCATTAACTCTAATTGAAAAAAAAAACATTTTCAAAAAAAAACTTTTCAAATTTTAAAGTTTCATCACCTCTGATTATGAGGAGCATTTAAAGATTTTAAGATTTGTAAGATCTCCGGGCATAATCTCTAAAAGCCTCTACGCATGACTTTCAAGATTAAAAGATTTTCAAATTTTAAAGTTTTCATCGCCTCTAATTATTAGGAGCATTCAAAGATTTTGAGATTTGTAAGACCTCCGTGCATAATCTCTAAGACCTCCGGGCATAATCTCTAAGACCTCCGGGCATGATTTATAAGACCTCCGAGCATAATTTGATTCACGGTGTTATCCCAATCAATGCTTTATCTTTTGACTTGCGGTGTTATCCTAGTCAATTCTGTAAGACCTCCGGGCATGATTTCTAAGACCTCCGGGGCAATTCTGTAAGACTTTCATGCATGATTTTCAAGACCTCCGGGCATAAATTCGATTTACGATGTTATCCCGATCGATTCTTTATCTTTTGACTTGCGATATTATCCCAGTCGATTCTGTAAGACCTCCAGGCATGATTCTGTAAGATCTTCGGGTATGATTTCTAAGACTTCCGGGCATAAATTCGATTCGTGGTGTTATCTCAATCGATTCTTTATTTTTTAACTTGCAGTGTTATCCCAATCGATTTTGTAAGATCTTCGAGCATGATTTGTAAGACTTCCGGGCATAAATTTGATTCGTGATATTATCTCGATCAATTTATTATTTTTTAACTTACGGTGTCATCCTAATCGTTTTGTGTTTTTTTTTTTTAAATCCACGATCTGTTTTCGAACAAAATCGTTGTCTTTGTCTTTGCCCTATTCCTGATTCTCAGTAATGTGCAAAGAGGGGCAGCTGTTGACATCAATTTTATCCCCAAAATAATATTATATGAAATACAAAAAAATAAATACCAAAAAAATAATACAAAACAAAAAAATACAAGAAAAAAAAGCAAAAAAATAGAAAAATAATTGAGGATGGCAGTGGTGCCATCCCCGGCACCACTGCCACTAGGCCCACCACCCATCCCATACCCTATTCATCCTACCCTACTACCAAAAAATACAAAAAAAATAAAGAGGCATGGGGCTCGTGTTTACATCCCATGATCGAGCCCCATGCCCTTCCCTCCAAACACGTATGGCTGGAGCTCTATAAATAGAGCTCCTAGCAAAGCCAAAAGAAAAGAAAAGAAGAAGGGGGAGATTCTGTCAAAAACAAAAAAAAAACTACAAAAAAAAAATAGAAACCACAGTCCTCGCCGAATCGGCGAGGAACCTAGCGCCAAAAAAGTACCTGCAACTAAAAAGAAAGGTTATTAGTTTGAGTATTTTTTTATAAAAAAAAAGAGAAGAAGAACAGAAAACTTAGAACCCCGATCTACGTCGATCGGGGTCGTTTCTGACGAAAAGGAGACCAGATCTGGAAAGATCGCGTCGAAAGGAACCTCCTGGTCCCTTTTGAAGTATCCGACCACTGACGACTGCGGATAAGGCGGCGGCCGGCACGGTGCTCCGGTGGCCAGACAGCGAGGGCGCCGGACCTCTGCCCAGAGCCCTTCTCACCTTTTTTTTTTTTTTCAGAAACAGAAAAATGAATTGAAACAAAAAAGGGGCTGCTTTTATAAAGAAAGCATAAAAGTAAAATGACGTCGTTTTGAGCATAGGGCCAAAACGACGTCGTTTCAAGCATTAGAGGATCCGCGCGTGGACCGAACCCGACCCGAGATCTACGCAAACCGACCCTTCAATCCGCTTCAGCCACCCTCCAGTCGGTTCGGACGAACCGCCAGTGAACCGGTCCAGACCGTTGGATCTCCCGAACCGTCCATTAAACCGAACTGGTCAGACTGGTCTGGACCAGCATTGACCGGACCGTTGACAGGTCCGATTCAGGTTAAAAAAAATTTTTTTTTTGAATTTTCTAATTTTTTTATATACATTATTATTTTTGCTATTTTAGGTATTTTTACATATTTATGCATGATAAGTGCTTAAGTTTGTTATGATAGATTTTTAATTGTTTTAATAATAATAAAATTGAAAACAAGTAATAACTAAAATATATATTAAAAAATGCTAAAAAATTATTATTATTATTATTTTCCCTGCTTAGATGTTGGAGGGAATAAAAAATATTTTTCTAAAGAAATAATTCCGCATAGATGTTGGGGAATTATTATTAATAAATTTTCATAAAAAATAAATATAAGAAAATTTTAAATTAATTTTTAAAAATTATTAAAATCGAACTTGCTTCGAAAATTCACCTAGATGTTGGAGATTTTTAGAGATGTTCGTATTTTCTTAAAAATGAAACTAAACACTAAATTTTAATTTTCAAAATCCTAGGTTTCTAAAACCCCTAAAATCCAAAACCTCCTAAAATCCAAACCCCTAAAAATCCAAACTCCTAAAATTTGAAACCCACAAAATCCAAACCCCCAAAATCCAAAATCTTTAAAATCCAAACCCTAAAATCAAAACCCCAAACCACAAAACCCAAACCTTAAAATCTCGAAACTCTAAAATCAAAACCCTAAACCTTCCATATCCTAAAATTCCAACCTTAAAACCCTATATACCTTAAAACCAAACCTTCAAAACCTCTGCTCAAGCCCTTACTCAAAACCTCCAAAAAAATCTTAAGGACACGTGTGAAAATTCCATTTGAAGCAATTTTTCCCGAATGTCGCCTAGATGATGGGGTATTTAGGAAATTTTATTTCGTTAAATCTTTTCACACAATTTATTAATTCGCCTTAATAATAAGATTAATGAATAAAAAGTATAATAATAAAATTGGAATCTTAAATATAAACAGTTGCACATAAGCTCTGCCTAGATGTTGGAGAGTCACTAACAATTATTTTCTATAAAGATTGTTATTTCATTTTAAAGAACTATTGTGTTAAATCTTAAGCAAAAAGAATCATTTTAAATTCTGCCTAGATGTTGGAGAATTTTAAGATAATTCTTTAACTTAAAGATTTTCTCAATATTTCTAAATAAAAATTTTCAGCAAAATTTTATTTTTCCAAATGAAGGGAATTAGTGTTAAATTTCAATTTAAAACTATTTTTATCCAACATCAAAAATAGCACATAATTAAATGGTACCAATTTATGGGCGTTGTGGGGGTGCTAATCCTTCCCCACACGTAATCGACTCTCGAACCCAACCTGATTTTTGAAGACCAAAATTCATCTTTTCGATAAACTTTAAACCCACTTTTATAGTTTTATTGAAAAGATAAACTTTTGGGTGGCCAATCACACCCTAACAAAGATTGGTGGCGACTCCATTTTATTTTTCTCGATTTTAAAAACTCAATTTACGTCTGGCGGTCCCAAAATCGTTACGACAACTTTTGATGGTATTACCAACCCCTTTAATCATCTTGAACTTTATAAAACTGATAGGTTGATATAAGGAGCTAATAAGCCTTTAATAGGCAAAAGACTTGCCATTACCCTTAAAAGAGTAGCTCAATAATGGTATACTTGCCTAAAACCCAAATCGATCTCAACCTTTAAATAACTTGGTCACTACTCTTTTTGAACCACTTCATCAATAGCCACCAAATAAACAAAACTACATTGAGTTTGATGTCTATTTACCAAGGACACGATGAATCTTTGAAAAAGTATATCATGCGTTTTAATTCTATAGCTTGTCAAGTAAAAGACTTAGAGTAAGATGTTGCCATGGGTTGAGTGACAAAGAGTATCACTTCAAGCTCAACCTTTCTCTAGAATGCCCAAAGACTCTAGCTAACATGTTTTTTATAGCAGAAAAGTATATAAATATTAAAACTACAATGAAAAGTAGCCAGGATGAGAGCGAAATATCCCCCCACAATAGCTAAAAAAGAGGTAGAGAAAGCGATAACCCTTAAAAATAGAAAAAAATCAACTGTAGGGTACTTTAAGGTAAGGAGTCCGAGTAGGAGATATGACAGTTATACTACACTAAATACCTCTTGAAAGATAATTCTAATGCAAATTGAAAGGTATCTTAAACTTAAATGGCCTATGCCACTTAAGTAGAATAGCATAAATGATTTGACCAAAACATATGCTTTCCATAAGGATTAGGGCCACAACATTAAGGATTGCATATATCTAATGAATGAAACAAATTATCTTATTAGAAGACGTTAGCTAAAGAGTATTACTTCAAGCTTAACCTTTCTCTAGAATGCCTAAAGACTCTAGCTAACATGTTTTTGATAGCAAAAAATTATATAAATATTGAAACTATAATGAAAAGTAGCCAAGATGAGAGAGGAATATCCCCCCACATTAGCTAAAAAAAGGCAGAGAAAGTGACAATCCTTTAAAATAAAAAAAAATCAACTATAGGGTACCTTAAGGTAAAGAGTTCGAGTAGGAGATATGACAGTTATACTACACTAAATACCTCTTGAAAGATGATTCTAATGCAAATCAAAAGGTATTTTAAACTTGGATGGCCTATGCCACTTAAGTAGAATAGCATAAATGATTTGACCAAAACATATGCTTTCCATAAGGATTATGGCCACAACATTAAGGATTGCATATATCTAATGAATGAAACAAATAATCTTATTAGAAAAGGTCAGCTAAATAAGTTTGTGAACAACAAAAGACAAGGTTAGAATAGAGAACTTTGAAGGGAAGAGACAAAAGAGAGTAGTCAAAGAGAAACCAAAAGGATAAAATATGAGGTGATGACTAAGGTAATACCAATCATAGGCTCGGCTAGAGAGATGAATAGTGAAATAATATGGATAATCAATCGATTATGGGGATTATTAATGTGATAACTAGTGGGATCTTAGCATCAACCAAAAACAAGTTTAATCAAAGAATAGTAATGGCCATTGGATTTGTAGTAAAAAAACAAAAAAACTAGATGGATGACTTAGTCTCTTTTAGCTCGAAAGGCCTCAAGAAATCAGATTTTCCCGTGTTGATGCCATTTTATACAGCCATGGTGTACAGCCATATGGTAAAAAGGATACTCTTTGATAATGGAAGCTTGATCGATGTCCTTTACTAATCCACTACTTTAAAAATAAGAATCACTATAAATATGATGAGACCCTTCACCACCACTTTCATCAATTTTAAGAATGAACAAATACTTATGAAAGGTATTATCAAGTTGTCGATCACCTTGGGTATTGAGCCAACGGACTATCACCTTAATCTTTGAGTTTATGGTGGTAAATGTTCCCTCAGCATACAATATGATTTTAGGTTGGCTATACTAGTTTACTATAAGAGTTATGGGGTCAACTCTTTACTTCAAAGTCAAATTTTCTACTCTAAGTGAGATAAAAAAATTCTAGGGAGACCAATCTACAATAAGATAGTACTGTGTCACTATTATAAAATGAAAGACTAGAAAGCAAACTCCAAGTTCAGCTAGTGCCAAATAGATAGGGATCAAAGAGGAAATAGAGATTAGAGTAGAAAAAAAAGGAAAATCAATCTGATGGTAAGATAATAGCTGACTAAGGAAAGAAAATTGACTATTTTAAGAGCCAATAATGAAATCAAGCTCTTAAGCTTGAAATATGTAAATAGTTTTTATGAAGCCAAGGTCTTAAGTCAGCACAAAAATCTAACCATGAACAACATCACTGAAGCTAAATGAATTCATGTGAACAAAGCTCACACTTAGCATCTTAATATATGAGTTTATTTTTCTACCAATTGAATAAATAAATCAATAAACAAAAATTCACGTAAAGAATTATTGTTTTCACATTAATCAATTCTAACTTAAGGGAACAAAAGAAAATCATTGATCAAAGTCTCGAAACTGACCTTACTCGACCATAACAAGTAGAAGATCTAGTACTTGTGCCATTTTTTAAAAAATTCAAGAAAAATGTTTTAAAAAAGGAGCCAAGCTTAACCAAAAAGAAAAATTGATACAATTGTTAAGAAATAATACCGATCTATTTGAATGGATGCTATTAAATATTTCTGAAATAGATCTTTCAAAAATACTCTATATGTTGAATATTGACCCAAACATGAAACAAATTCAGTAAAAAAGGTGTTTTTCCCTAAAAAGATAAAAGGCATTAAAATATGAGGTCAACAAATTATTAAAAGTTGGATACATTAGGTAAACATATTACCTTAAGTGAATAGCCAAAGTAGTAATGAGGAAAAAACACAACATCAAATAAAAAATGTGTATTGATTTTACCAACCTTAATAAGGCTTGGCCAAATGACACTTTCTCCTTACTAAGTATAGATTGGCTTGTAGACGATATTGCCAAGCATAGTATACTCAATTTTCTGGATGCATACTCAAGCTACAACCAGATCAAAATATAGAATAAAGATAAAAAGAATATAGCTTTTGTGATCAAGAAAGGGTTGTACTACTACAAGGTATGCCATTTGAACTTAAAAAAACATTGGAGTGACTTACTAGAGGTTGGTTAACAAAAAGTTCAAGGACCAAATTGCCATAATATGGTGGTATATGTCGATGACATGATAGCTAAAAGTAAAAACTCAAATGAATACTTAAAAGACTTGGAGAAAACATTCAATA